TCTAAGAGTTTATAAATGACCAGGCTGAGCTGTGAGCACTCCCAGAAAGAGAGAAGCAGGGCTAATGCACTGTTTAAATTACATGCCCTTCTCAAAATGAAAAGACAAAATATAGATCAGTGGTAGACAGGGGCCCAAAGTGGGGGTGGAGTGACCAGCAAGGGGCACTGGCAGAGTTTGGGGAATGACAGAACTTGACTGCAGAGATGGTTAACACAACTGAATATCTGTTAAAACTCAAAGAACTGTAACTGAAAAAGGTAAATTTTATTGTATGTAAATCATACCTGCAAAAAATGTAAGATATAGGAAAAAATTAAATTGCCTATTAAGTAAAAAATTTTACTTTACTTTTAAAACAAATTATATGAAAAATTTCCCTTAATGAGTTCAAATGCTGGAATATACTAGTATAACTGAGTACATTTTTCCAAACAGGGGCACCTGGGTAGCTCAGCCCGTTGATTGTGGGACTCCTGGTTTTGGCTCAGGTCAGGATCTCATGGGTGGGTCCTGAGATTGAGCCCTGCATGGGACTCTGTGATCACCATGGGATCTGCCTGGGGAGTCTTTCCTTCTGCCCCTCCCCCACTCACACATGCACGAGAGCACGGGCTCTTTCTCTCTCTCAAATAAATAAATCTTTAAAAAATTTTTTTTCCAGTGAGAAATAAGGTATAATACTTGATCTTTTAGAAACATTAAACTATTTTGAGGTATAAGATCACATAAAAGTTGACTGAATGCCTATGTATGGCCTCCTTGCTTTCTCTAAACTCATAATTTTGTTTGGTTTTTCTGAATATAGGAAAAGTCTTAAAAAGAGAGTTGAAAGTAAAACTAGAAAATAATTAACAAGTCAAGAAACAACAGATGTTGGTGACGATGTGGAGAAAGGGGAACCCTCCTACACTGTTGGTGGGAATGCAAGCTGGTGCAGCCACTCCGGAAAACAGTATGGAGGTTCCTCAAAAAGTTGAAAATAGAGCTACCCTACAACCCAGAAATTACACTACTGGCTATTTACCCCAAAGATACAAATGTAGTGATCTGAAGGGGCATGTGCACCCCAATGTTTATAGCAGCAATGTCCACAATAACCAAACTATGGAAAGAGCCTCGATGTCCGTCAACAGATGAATGGATAAAGAAGATGTGGTATATATATACATGGAATACTATGAAGCCATCAATAAAATGAAATCTTGCCATTTGCAACGTTGTGGATGGAACTAGAGGGTATTATGCTAAGCGAAATAAGTCAATCAGAGAAAGACAAGTATCATATGATCTCACTGGTACGAGGAATTTGAGAAACAAGACAGAGGATCATAGGGGAAGGGAGGGGAAAAATGAAACAAGATGGAACTGGAGAGGGAGACAAACCATAAGAGACTCGTAATCTCAGGAAACAAACTGAGGGTTGCTGGAGTGGAGGGGGTGGGAGGATGGGGTGGCTGGGTGATGGGACATTGGGGAGGGTAGGTACTATGGTGAGCGCTGTGAATTGTTTAAGACTGTTGAATCACAGACCTCTACCCCTGAGATAAATAATACATTATATATTAATTTAAAAAAAGAATTCATAATATGATTTCTATATACTACAAAAACTATTAAAATACACAGTTGAACACTTCAAGTTATATGTCTCAGTGAGGGTCCTGAAGGCCCAGAAAGATAAAGGGATTTTGCTTTCCCTAGCAGTCACCCTGAGGCTCCTAGTGGTCCATGACCTTGCTTAAGAAGATAACTTTCTCCATCCCAGGAAACTATACACCTCCCAAATAAGAATAATCGGCTATATTCACTAAGGCAGGCTTTATGCTAAACTCTCTGCAATCACAACAACCCACCTTTCAGATGAGGAATCTTGAGGCTGAGAAGTGAGGGAGAAGGATGGAGCCAGGATGTGGGCCTAAGCACAAACACACCCAGCGCACCAGCTCCCAGGGTGCAGGCCTGCACCACAATGTGGAGCAAGCAACATGCTACTCCACCTTTTCCAGGGCCCTTCACAGTTCTACTCATCTACAACTTGTGAGCAGCCCTTCTCTTGGTCTGCATTTAATGCCAGAGCTTTCTCAACAGAAGAACAATGGAAGGGCAAAAGAAGCTCTAACAATCACCTTTCTGATCCAGGATCACCTCACTCTCAGAAATGACCCTGTTGTCTTACTGACAGAAAAGACAGGCTTAAATCCTTATTATCAAAGCTTCCCTCAACTTCCCATTGTTTTCCTCAGGACTGTGGGTTTTACTGCTCTCAGCCCTCAATCCTGTTTTTCGGGCAGAAATACCCATGCTAACCATACCCCAGCCCAACAGCTCTCAGACTGTGGTTTTAGGACCCTTTGACACTCTAAAAATTACTGAGGAGTCCAAGGAGCTTTTATATATGTGAACCATAATCTATCAACATCTCCTGTATTAGAAATTAAAACTGAGAAATTTTTAAATCAAATCACTTTAATTAAATCATTTAAAAATATTAAACATGTTAATATAAGTAACATTTTTATGGGAAAGAAACCTCTATTTTCAAAAAAAAAATAAGAAGAGTGGTATTGTTTTGCATTTTTGTAAAACTCCTGAAGGTCATGCTTAATGAAAGCCAGCTAGATCTTATAACTGCTTCTGAGGTCTGGCATGACATTCATAGTTACACACAGTCATGTACCCAAGGAAAACACCACTGTACCCTCAAGAGAATGAAAATAGAAGGGCAAACAATGTCTTAGTATTACTTCAAAAATAGTCTGACCTTGAAAGGGTGTCAGGAATGCCCCAGAGCCCTCTTACCACACTTGGAGAACCACTGCTCTAGTCAAGCCAGAGGTAGTCCTACGTCTGATTTCAGCAGATCCTCACTCTCTAACTTGGACTCCAACTCACTCTCTCTTGCTTCCTTACCCCCGCCACCCCCCACCCCTTCAAATGTACCATCTTCCCTAAAAAACAAAACTTTCTACTTAAGCTGTCTCCTTTTTCTCTCAAGTCACCAAACTTCTTGAAAAAGTAGTTCCCACAACCTCTACTGCCCCTCCTTTTTATTATTTTAATTAAAGTAATACACAGAGATGTTCTCATTTAAAAAAAAAATCCAAACAATATAGATAAATCACCATCTACAATTCTAGTCTCTAACCCCTGTTACCCCTAGAAAATACTCCAAGCTGTTAACTAAATAATTGGATTGAACTTTTTATTTTCTTGTGATTTTCCCTCATCAAATAGTCATTTTAAAAAATCCTGAAAGTAGGTTCTGCTTAGATTCCAATTCTTTTGGTTACCCAAGGTATGGGTCAAACAGTAAGACCTAATAACTAGGAGATTACAGAGATAAAATGAGTGATGTTCCTATACAAAGTGAATACTAAACAAAGTGCTACAACCATGCTGATTTTATGGTGATACAACATAAGACAGAATAATGAGACTTAGTCATCCTGATATATATATATATCATATATGATATATATATATAAAACAGTGTCTTCAGGGTTTATATAACATTTTCACATATATTTGCTCTTTAAAATTTTACAACCTGTGAGGTCAATAGGAATTATGATTAACATTTTACAGATAAGAAAGCCAAAGTTCTAGGAGAGCAGGAGAAAAAAATACTGCTCAAAATTACATAGCTAGAAAAATGCACACCAGAAACCACACACAGAAGTTATATTTTCTGACTCAAATCAAATCCCACTCCTTTATATTACATTGAACAGTACATCAAAAATTCTCACAATATAGAAATATTAAGTTCTACTTTTTACAAAAATTAAGTTCTTGCCTATTTTTAGAGCTAATTTGGAAAAAAAAATGATCTCTACTTCCAAAGTTGAAAATACAAAAATGAACTGTATAATTTCTGACTGTAAAAAAGAACAAATTATTTTTGCTTCTTTATTATACAATACAATCCCTTAGGAAGCTTGCATTTTATTTAAAATAACAGTTGAAATTTACTAAAATCTACATCAACATGTAGACGTATTACCACATTAGAAAAATAACTTCTTAAATCCTTTATTTAGGCAACGCCATTAACAAAGACCCAAGACTCCTAATGTAAAGATGAGGCAACAGTTGCTGAAAAGAACACCAGACGTACACACTTCATGGATGCTACCCTCATATTTCAGTGCTACCCTTGAAATTCCTGCAAGGAACACAGGGAATCACGTGGAAATTCCTTAAAGTTCAAAATCAGAATTTTGAACTAAGATAACAAACTATTTGATTCATTATTAATCTTACTGAAATATCGTTTCTAAGCCCCTGTTTTTTTTCCTACACCAAGGCAGCTCCAGAGGAGCTCAAAATATTTATGATTTATTTATTATGACACATTAGATTAGATTATGAAAAAACTGAACTTAAACTATTTCTTATTAAGGGCTCTGAATCTAGTATCTCAATTTCACATATAATAACATGGGAAAGTTTTAAAGCCATGATTAAGGTAATCTTTTTTTTTTTTAAAGATTTTATTTATTTGACAGAGCACAAGCAGAGGGAGAGAGAGGGAGAAGCAGGCTCCCTGCTGAGCAAGGAGCCCGATGTGGGACTCGATCCCAGGACCATGGGATCATGACCTGGGCCGAAGGCAGCTGCTTAACCGACTGAGCCACCCAGGCGTCCCGATTAAGGTAATCTTTTTAACACACACTGGCATTTTAAAAATATGGGCAAGAGGGGCTCCTGGCTGGCTCAGTCAGTGGGGCATGCAACTCTTAAGCTCAGGGCTGTGAGTTTGAGCCTCACAGTGGGTGTGGAGATTACTTAAAAATAAATCTTTAAAAAATATATTTATATGGGCAAGATAACGAATTTTTCTTCACATTTTACTTTTTAAATGTAAAAGATATATACCTGCTCTCAACACATCCTTGTCAGAAGACCAAAAACCCATGAGATATAGTTCAATATTTAAGTTACTCTAAAGAACTGCAAAGCTACTTTACTAATAAATATTTGAGTATTTCTCTTACCTCTATTTCTGTACAATGTGAATATCCCAATTTACCTGTAATAAAAATACAAAAAGTTACTTCCAAAGGATTTTAGCTTTTTTATCACTGATAAAAATATTTGAGCTACCCTGGCAAAATCTACGTGCTAGAATGACCAATATTCTATAAGGTCCTGCCTAGAGATTTGTTTAAATAGGCCCATAAGAAAACACTAAGTAGGAAGATGGGAAGAATATACTCAATTGTAATAAGACCTAAAACACACGCACATATTTAATATGCATATATACAAGCTAATGAAAGTAAAATAAAAATATTTTTATTGAAGTCTTACTTTCTTTTTAAAATATCTTAAAATATTTTAAAGGTACTTAAAAGGTACCTTTCAAAATACTCAAAAATACCTTCAAAAAATCTTTAAAAGATTCTTGGGCTTTTCTCCAAATATATATTCTAGTTTAAAGGTACAGTGATCATTTCAATGAAAGCATAAATGTCTCAAACTAGTATTTTCTTTAATATATGATGGCTGTTTTTCTTTTCTGATGTATGATTAGATAAAACCACATAATTAATTTAGTAATTTTTCCAATAGAGGATCACCTAAAGAATAACTATAATTAAACAATATTTTGCTGTACCAACATCAATTTTCTCTTCATCACTGAAACATAATAGCAAGGAACATGTACAATTATATATTTCTGTCAATTTGGATGAATAAAACATACTTTTTAAATAAAAAAACAGCTATTTTAAAGATCACTTATTACGCAGTTTTAACAAAAAGAATAGGTTACATACTTATATTGGGTACTGATCAATTTAATTTCCCCAGTCCACACTTTCTGAATACCATTGTTCTCAGTTCAAACATACATTAACCTCCACCTCCTTCCCTCCAACAACACTCTCCTTCCTCCTAATTGCTTCCTCTCTCCAGCCTCTGACTCCCACACCTAGTCCTAGCCCACAGTGGTTGTTCCAGCAGTCTGTTTTCTTCAATGCTTATTGAGAATTTATACACCTTAGAGTTTATGATGAAACCACACACACACAAAAAGCCCACAACGTCTTTTATGTGCCTCCCGAGTCTCAAAATGAAAAAATTGAAATCCACAATTTCTCATGACCTAATGGTCCTAATGTGAAATACTGGCTGAAACTGAGACCAGAAAACAAGGGACCATGGGTTCTGTGGATTAAAAATTATATATGAGCAATAAATAAAGATTACATGAACATAGAGATAAAATGGGTTTAATATATAAAGGTTTTACATACTACGGTTTGATAAATACATAACTGTTACTTATATATTTATGTATTGTTAAATGAAACTATGTATTTTATATATATTAAAGTTATTAAAGTTATATAGCATATATTTTTATTTATATATATATGGCTGCTCAGAACATTAGTGCTTTTGGTAGATTAATTATTCTACGACGCCTATAGAGAAGGTGATTAGCTTAACCTAGGAAAGTACCGTAAACAGGAGCAGTTCAAAGAGGGGCACAGGCTACCTCTCAACAAACATTTAGAATGTCTACTCTGGGGATGGGAAGGGAAAGGAAGGGAAGGGAAGGAGGGAAAGAGGAGGTAGGGAGCGAGGGAGGGGAAAATACAGTGTTAAGACAACAATGACAGCAATCTCCTTGAGAGTACATAGATGTACATCTTCAGTATAATAATTCTTTGTTTAATATTTTATTTATTTATTTGACAGAGAGAGAGACAGCGAGAGAGGGAACACAAGCAGGGGGAGTGGGAGAGGGAGAAGCAGGCTTCCCACCAAGCAGGGAGCCCAACACGGGGCTCGATCCCAGGACCCGGGGATCATGACCTGAGCTGAAGGCAGACGCTTAACTACTAAGCCACTCAGGCGCTCCATTCAGGATAATAATTCTTAAGGTAAACCGAATTGCAAAGAAAGTGGTAGGTTTGTTATTGGTAGTAAAGTTGGTAAAAAAATTTTGAAACGGTTTTGTATGTATTGTAGCACTGTGCAAACAAATACGCTGATGTTGCTGGGAATCATGAACTGAGGGAGAAAGACCATATAAACCTAACATGTGGGAAGGAGAGGCAGAGCCCTGTGGTAGTGAACTGGAATTAGGGGTATTATCCAATTTCAAAAAAAAAAAAAATACTTCCTAGCTCTTCTTCCAAAAGAAGGAGAAGTAATAGCACCCCATTTTGCAAGAGCACACCTAGACCATTCCCCCTCAAAGGAACCAGTACTCAGGGGAGTGGCTGACTCCATGGATGGGACAAGTGGAGGTGAGGCCATTTCAGAGAATGTGCTGTGTAAGGCCTAACCCTGAACAGCCAAGGTTATGAAATGGGTCTACCAAGATGTGAAATTACAAGATAAGCTGGAACATCTTTCTGCACCAGAAAGTAATGAAGTACTCAAAGAATAACAGAGTGATGTCAAAATGGCACAAGTCCTATGAAATAAGGTTTTTTCCCTGACCTCTATAATAAAACTGAAAATGCTTTCCTATAAAGAGCACCAAAAATTTCTGTGTGAGTGCACCATCACTTCTGGTTATTCAATTTGATCTGGTGACTATATCATGCAACCATGGAAATGTGGTTAAGTATGAAATGCCTGACCACCTACACTACTCTGCCATCCAAATCCCTGCCCAGACTCTGATGCAGGAATTAGAAAATCCCAATTACATGACAGCAGAGCTTAAAGGAACCTTGGAAATGATCCTGCCCAATCCATTCATTTTATAGATGAGTAATCTGAGCCTGACGAGTCAAATGACTTGCACAAAATGACAGAGCTAAGAGTAGACTCCAAGGCTCCTGACCTTTGTCATGAGCATTGGTGTGGTTTTGTTCTCCTGTCTGCCATTCCCACTTACAGGGATCAGTGGGGTTAGGGAAAGGGACTGCGGAGGTGCTATCACAGCTATCTACCCATTATAATACTGTTTCTGGAGAAATGGGGGAAATGTACTCCTTGATTTAGCAGTTGGAAACTGCCAATATAGCAACCAAGAAATTTTCATTTGCCAACTTTTGAGTCCTTCTTTAAAGGCCAACTTTCCAGAGCCAAACCTAAGGAATCCCTCTAAAACCTAGAATCCTAGGACTTCACTTTCTACAAGTTGAGTAAACTAAGCCGATGTTGGGCCTAACCAAGGTTTCAGATTATTAAATGCAGTGAATTCGTTCTTTCAATAAGACTAACAACTTTACTGATTTATTGTTAATTAAAAGGCTAGATTTACTATCTGACAATGTAAAATAAAAGGAAATATTTGGAATGATATTTAAACATTAAGTTTCAAAATACTCCAATATTATTAACATACTTATACACTAGGAAGAAGGAGGATTTGCACAGCAAGCCAAAACTTCAGCTCGGTGTTTCCCAAAAACAATGGGCATTTTAATAATGCTGGAAGAATCAAGCCTGTGTTTTTTAGGCCCTTCTTTTTAACTAATCCTGAAATATCCAATCTGCTCTTAAGATTTACTAGACAAGTTCCCTCATGTCCTAGGAAATACAAAAATCAGTCTTCCTATAAACTGATATAAAATGGCTTTAAGGGATGCCTGGGTGCCTCAGTCGGTTAAGTGTCTGCCTTCGGCTCAGGTCATGATCCTTGGGTTCTGGGATTGGGTCCGCATCAGGCTCCTTGCTCAGCAGGGAGCCTGCTTCTCCCTCTCCCTCTGCCCGCCACTCCCTCTGCTTGTACTCTCTCTTTCTCTGACAAATAAATAAAATCTTAAAAAATGAAAAAATAAAATGGCTTTAAAAAATGAACTATTCCTAATGTAAAATGTCATAAAGAACACCTCAACTAAGATAATGAAGACATTTTAAATCCTAAATGCTGATAATCAGACACTTTCATTCAAAAGTCTGCTCATTGTTACCAGAGAGAGCATTTCAGTGAACACATCTTGGTAGACCCACTCATAACCTTGGTTGTTCAGGGTTAGGCCTCACACCACACACTCTCTGAAATGGCCTCAGCCCAGTGGAATCACAAAATCTGATGGACCACACAACTATAGTGGAAATTAAGGCACAGTTTCAGAAAAAATTTAAGGTGCTCATATAGATATATAATACTTTTAAATTAAGGTGGTAGAAACCTCAGCATACGGCTGAACTGTCACACAGTCACATTATCAATATGATTCAAATTAGCTGAATAAGCAGAAGGCAAACATGCCTGCCAGAAAGACACAGAACCCCTATAATCCTTACAATAAATAAACAGCTCTCAGATTTATTCTCCAAATTTCTCCCATGTGAGCAAACTGCGGGCAATGATTGGGTCCATCTGATCCTGTGAAAGTATGTTATTTTTTCATGAGCTGAGCATTCAATAGATACACCCTGTCCTCCTGGCAGCTTGCCTCTGCCCCTCTCATTCATTCAATAAATATTTGCTGAACACCTACTAAATACTAAAATACTGATGATACAGCAGCAAACAAGCTACACAGTCCTTGCTCCCTAGGGCTTATATCTTAGTGAACACAGACCCAAAGAAGCAATCAAATAAAATTAATTACAACTGGTAATAAATGCTATTAAGGACAGAAAAGGGAGAGAAAGAAAGTAACAGAAATGGGGCGCCTGGGTGGCTCAGCTGGTTAAGCGACTGCCTTCAGCTCAGGTCATGATCCTGGAGTCCCGGGATCGAGTCCCACATAGGGCTCCCTGCTCAGCAAGGAGCCTGCTTCTCCCTCTAACCCTCCCCCCCTCATGTACTCTCTCTCTCTCTCATTCTCACTCTCTCAAAAATAAATAAATCTTTAAAAAAGAAAATAACAGAAATGATCCAATTTAGAATAGTAAGGCATGACTCCTTGAGAAGATGATATTTAAATAGAGACTGTGAAGTTGGGTAGCAGCTACCTGCAGGGCTGAGGGAAGAACCTGTCCCAGAACCAGGAGGCAGCCTGTGGTAAGGCTCTGGAAGTGTTTGGTAGTTGGGTAGCATAAAATGCATTTGGAAAGACAGGCAGAGGCAGGTCACACAGGCCTTTCAGGACAGTGTAAGGAGTTTAG